TATGATGCTGCTTGGCCTGCTGTGTTCATCCAGCCCTGCTCCTTGTTGTCTCTAACTTTTCCCAGTTCTTACTTCTACTTCTCTCTCCACCATTGCTGCCAAGGCCTACTGAGTCTGTCAAGCATTTCTGTCTTTCAGAGACAGAGGAAGTGGGACAATAGGAACAAGAACAAAGGAAAAGGATCATAACAGGGTGGAGGGCTGCAGAGATTAAATTACAAAGGGATAATGGCAAGACAAAGGGCATTGGTAACAATACAAATAAATGAGCCATTTACAGCCTTGTGGATTCAACAATTGCAGATAACAACCTCTGCTTCCATTGTTTTGGATAGCTGTTGAGCCTGGGATGATTCTGTTTTCCTACTTACATATCCTCTAGACATCTTTTGTTTTTTCACTTGTCACAGCTGCAGACAATCTCACAAATGAAGTAAGGTTGTTTGTGTTGAAATAGAGGACAGGAGTCAGTTCCCATTGTTGCAAAGTTCTGTAGAAACATAGAAGAAAGAAGCAGGAAGAGGCCATTCGGCCCTTCGAGCCTGCTCCACCATTCATCACATTCATGGCTGATCATCCAATTCAATAGCATAATCCTGTGCTCTCCCTATAACCTTTGATCCCATTCACCCCAAGTGCTATATCTAGTCACCTCTTGAATACATTCAATGTTTTGGCATCAACTACTTCCCTGTGGTAATGAATTCCAGAGGCTCACCACTCTTTGGGTGAAGAAATGTCTCATCTTTGTCCTAAATCGTCTACCCTGAATCCTCATACTGTGACCCGTGGTTCTGGACACACCCACCATCGGGAATATCCTCCCTACATCTACCCCGTCTAGTCCTGTTAGAATTTTATAAGTCTCTATGTGATCCCTCCTCATTCATCTGAACTCCAGCGAAAACAATCCCAACCAAGTCAATCTTTCCTCATACATCAGACCCGCCATCCCTGCAATCAGCCTGGTAAACCTTCACTGCACTCCCTCGAAAGCAAGAGCATCCATCCTCAGAAAAGGAGGCCAAAACTGCGCACAATATTCTAGGTGTGGCCTCACTAAGGCCCTGTACAACTGCAACAACACATCCCTGCTCCTGTACTCGAAACCTCTCACAGTGAAGCCCAACATACCATTTGCTTTCTTTACCACCTGCATGCTCACCTTCAGCGACTGTGCACAAGGATGCCCAGGTCCCGCTCCACACTCCCCTCTCCCAATTTACAGCCATTTAGGTAGGCATCTGCCTTCTTGTTTTTGCTTCCAAGTGAATAACCTCACATTTATCCAAATTATACTGCATCTGCCATTGGATTGCCCACTCACCCAACCAGTCGAGATCATGCTGAAGGAAGAGTAGTAGAGTACTTGTGACTCGGAAGGCACGAAGTTAGAATTTGTTTGTAAAAATGATGGGGGGGGTGGGGGAAACAGAGTGCACAGTCCCTTTAAGAGACGATGTGCTTTTCTAAGCTTGGAGATTTAAATGAAAACTTGTCTGTAATCAGCTGAAGAGGTACAGACAGTTCTAAAATTGAAACATGTATCAATTGGCTATGTAATTGGAAACCTTGGGCTTGTTTTGATGTTTTGGCAACAAGCTTGAAGATCAGTCAATTAATTTAAACCAAACACTTAGAAATTGAAAACCAATTGAATTTAAAACTGATGGTTTTGACAACTTCTGACCCATCCTATTATAAGAAAACTGCATAAGAAGAGGATTTTTTTGAAAATTGGAGAGAGAGCGAACTGAAGAATCTGGCTTTCACAGAAATCTCTAAGCTCTCTGAGAAAGCACCATCGATTCATAAAGGTACCATAGCACTTCTAGCTAAAAGTCCACACAGAAGAATTCACAGAGAAGACATCCCTGACAGAAAGATCAGTGAAAGAAAGGTGTTCATGACTGGGGAGACAAGCGGAGAAGGCAGACCATTCCAGAAGGTACACCCTTGTATGGACTTTGAGAGTCTAAGCTTTAATTTATTTTTATTATTATTTGGGTTTTTATAAGCAGAACTTATATTTATTGGAACAGCATACCATTAGAATTTTGATTTGTTCAGGAATAGTTAGTAGTTAAGGGGAATTGTTTGATTTATTAGTAGTTCTGTTAATTTGTTCACTGGTAGGGTTAAATAAATCAATTGTTATTTGTTGCTTATGAAGTGAATATCAGGGATTTTCTTTCATTTAACCACTCCTTTTTAACAGATTAGGCGAGGTGAGGCAAGCTTCTCTGTGTTTCGGGTTTAATTATTAGAAGGGGACTCCGACTCCTGCCATAACAGATTGGGAGCTTGTGTTTCAATTTTAATTATCAGAGGGGTTCAACCTCCCCTTCCTAATACTATGGAACTGCACCCTTAGCAAGTGTTAGTGTTCTAAAGGATAAATAAAACACAATTAAGGCTCCACAAACCCCTGTAGAGTTCTTCTGTCCCAGAGCCTTTCCACAGAATGCCTTCAGATTGACGTAGGGTTCATTCAAGATCTCTTTGAAGACAATATCATAGAATAGATTAGCTCTGAAGCAAGGACTTTTGAAGACTGCAATAGGCTGCTTCAGCTGAAGAGCTGCTACAATGTCATCTTGCACCTTCTGAGGGGCTGTAGCAGTCAAAGCCACGCAGGGGATACCAGGAGCCCTACTGCGTAAAGACCCCAGTTTGAGGTAATCCGGTCGAAAGTCATGCCCCCACTGTGATACACAATGAGCCTCATCGATGACCAGGTATGATAGGAGATTTCGGGCCAACAGGGAGTCGAAGATGGAATGCATGGTGTTGGAAGCTGCCATCTCTGGGGTGATGTAGAGAAGTTTGATGCCAGGCTTCTCAGAATTCAAGTCAGAAAGGACCATTTTTCGCTCCTCAAGGGACAGCTTAGAATTCAGGGAGCACGCTCTGATCTTCAGCACGCTCATGTGTTCAATCTGGTCCTATAGAAAGTAAAGACATTAAATCTGTGTTACAGACAGCAAGGGATTAAACATTCTACATCCTGCAGGATATGCCCCCAAACCCCAACGTCTGCAGATTGTAAGCACTATACACTCAGCAGTGCACGTCCAGACATTGAACAGCAACCCTATACCTACCCTTTGAGCCAGAGTCATTAACAGTCCTGTATTTTACAGGACTATCCCATAATTTTACGTTTCACCCTGCATCCCTTTGGTTTTCTCCCGGGACACAATTTGTTGAAATTCATCAGGCAGTGACTGTGAAACTGCTCGGGAGTCATCTATTCCATTGCCCTTGCATAGCAGGAGGTCTGGAGACAAGGTGGACGAGGCTTTACAAGACATTAAGGGAAGATGTGTCAGGATCAGGGAGCAGAATTCGGGAGCTGCTGACTGAGTGAATGGGGGGAGGTGGGCAAGATTACCTGCTAAGTGAGTCAGTCATGGTGCCACTGGTGCTAACCAAGACTCTGGGGAGGGGAGCTGACGGAAGATATACTTGCATGCATGTGTCTGTGCATACCCGTGGACAGTGGTGAAAAGTGTATCGGTGGAGTGGGAGTAAGGGAGGGGGATGAGGGGTGAGCTGAGTTGGGGAGAGCAAAAGCACTGCACTGCTCATTCGGGGCAAGTACCACAAGGAACATCAGGCAGCAGTGCATTGTGCACGCAAGGTAGCCAGTATGAGGAAGGTTGGCAAGCAGCATCGTGCGTTTCAGGCCAACAGTGCCAGGAGCATCAGCGAGCAGATCGTCGCATGTCCAGGATGAGCAGCGCAAGGAGCAGCATATGGATATCCAGAAATCAAGGAGGTAGAATATTATTATACATCAAGTGGACAAGGGGATACTGTGCCAGGGAACTGGATGAGGGCACACTGTCAGGTCAGGAATTTGGGTGGGATAAGAAGTGGTGTTGGTGAGGTTATATAGATTTCGTCAGATGGTGGATAGTCTTGAAGATCAGGTGGGGGTAAAGGGTGAGGGGCTCATGTCAGGTCAGGGATGGGGGTTGAGTGTTTTGGGTGACAGAGGGTGTCAGGTCCAGTGAAGAAGTGTGTGAGAATGAAGGGTCACGGTCAGTTTACTAGGTAGCCAAAAATCAGAGGTTTTCATGCTCCAACTGTTCAAGGGTAACTATTAAGCTAAGACACTCAGAGCCCTCCACCTTTTTGTAGGCTTCCAGAGGCAATGTATTTGCCTATTGGAAGTTTCCCAGGCATTTACTGGGGAGTCACCAGGTCCCAACATGCAATTCAAGTCTATGCTGCTGCAACACTACATTCCCGTGAGAAAGTCTGAGCCAGAGTTAACATTTTGAGTCCAATATAACTCGCTTTTCTAACTGCAGTAGGGTTGGAGCAATAGTAAAAAGGATTATTACTTGAATGGTAAAAAGTTGCAGCAGGCTGCTATGCAGAGGGACCTGGGTGTCCTTGTGCATGAATCACAGAAGGTAGGTCTGCAGGTACAACAAGTAATTAGGAAGGCAAATGGAATTTTGTCCTTCATTGCTAAAGGGATTGAAATAAAAAGCAGAGAGGTTATGTTGCAGCTGTACAAGGTGCTGGTGAGGCCACACCTAGAGTACTGTGTGCAGTTTTGGTCTCCTTACTTGAGAAAGGATGTACTGGCGCACTGGAGGGGGTGCAAAGGAGGTTCACTAGGTTGATTCCGGAGTTGAGGTGGTTGGCTTATGAGGAGAGACTGAGTAGATTGGGATTATATTCATTGGAATTCAGAAGATTGAGGGGGGATCTTATAGAAACATATAAAATTATGAAGGGAATAGATAAGATAGAAGTAGAGAGGATGTTTCCACTAGCAGGTGAAGCTAGGACAAGAGGGCATAGCCTCAAGATTAGAGGGAGCAGATTTAGGACTGAACTGAGAAGGAATTTCTTCACCCAGAGGGTTGTTAATCTATGGATTTCCTTGCCCAGTGAAGTAGTTGACGCTACTTCAGTAAATGCTTTTAAAAAAAAGGTAGATTTTTTTTGAACAATAAAGGAATTAAGGGATACGGTGAGAACGCGGGTAAGTGGATCTGAGTCCACGAAAGGATCAGCCATGATCTTATTGAATGGCGGAGCAGGTTCGAAGGGCCAGACGGCCTACTCCTGCTCCTAGTTCTTGTGTTCTTGTGAGTCTGTTCAATTACTATGGTTCACACTGAACTGGTCCTGGATCCTGGAACAGTTTACTGCCACACAGCACAATGTGAAAATATCCACTACTAAACTCACTTGAATAAGAGCAATCAGTGGGGAGATCACAATGGTGACACCCTCAGCAAGTACAGCTGGTAACTGGTAACAGAGAGATTTCCCGGCCCCTGTTGGCATGCAGATAAAGACATCCTTGTCACCTACAAAGAGAAGATAGAAATTTATCCACTGTACAGCTTCTTAGTTAAAAGGAACAGATTTCCCATTGGCCCTGTTCCTACTGCATTTCAGTTTTCATTAATATAACACCTTTAACAGAGGTAAGCATCCTAAATTACCTCATAGCATAATCATACACACACTGACATCAAGTAGAGAGGGGGTAAATTTCATGGAGAAATTTAAATAACAGGATAACAGCTTTAAAATCAAGGTGGTTCCAGACAGGGAGACAATGCACACATCAGGTGTGGAGGATGCTGAAATATGGAAAGAGTTAACATATGGGAAGTAGAGTTTTGGAACGACCTTTAGTTTATGGGAGATCCAAGACCGAAGGCTCAATTTCGAGTACTATGCATTTCAACAATTTTAGCCTCAGGACATCCCAAGATCCTTCACTCCAACACTGATGGCTCTACCCTCAGCTAGCCAGGCCCTTTGATCTGGAACTCCCTCTCAATCATCTCCACCTCTCTCACCTAAGAGAATCCCCATCCCCTACCACCGTGGACCTGACACCCTCCAGCTCCCCCACTGACCTGACTCCTCCAAATTTGACTATCTCAATGAGACTACTGGAAAAATCTGGATGTAACAAAAACATTGGTGAGCCACAATGGTCCTGATTTTAACTGTAGAAGTGGGTGGTTTTTGGAGGAGTTGGAATCTCAATTAAAAATTCTCTCCCCCATGTCATTCCATCTCACCTCCCCCTGTAATCCACTTCCAAATGCATGAGACACCATATCTCCCCTATAGCCTAGCTCCCGGTGTAAACAACTTTGCAGTCTGCTCAAAAATCAAAGCTGACACCCCACTGATAACCTGCATTGGGGGAGTGTTTTCACTTAAGATGTTAAATTAAAATTCAATTTGCCTAATTGGGTAGATTTGAAAAATCACAAGGCAGAATTTTATAGGTATATTGGAACATAAGAAGAGGTGGCGGCCATTTAACCTGTTCAAACTGCTCCACATTCATGGCTGATCAAACACTTATTTTATCCACCCCATCCCCATAAACCTATCCATCGCTGGTAATCGGAAATCTATCAATATCTATCTTAATATATTGAGTTTCCATGAAGAAGAGCAGGTTAGTTCTCCCCAGTGTCTTGGCCAATATTAATCCCTCAATCAACATCACAATAACTGAATATCTGGTCATTACTATCATGCTGTTTGTAAGAGCTTGCTGTGTGTAAATTGGCTGACCTGCTGTGTTCATCCAGCTCTACACCTTGTTATCTCAGATTCTCCAGCATCGGCAGTTCCTACTACCTCTGTAACAACTTAGATTTATGGCACTCTTTTCATCACCACCTGATGCCTTAAAGTACTTCACAGCCAATAGGGAGAAAAAAGTAAGAAAAAGGTCAGAGATAGTAGGAACTGCAGATGCTGGAGAATCTGAGACAAGGTGTAGAGCTGGATGAACACAGCAGGCCAAGCAGCACCAGAGGAGCAGGAAAGCTGACGTTTCGGGTGAGACCCTTCTTCGGAAAAAAGGCAGATAAGGGTGGGGAGGGAAAATGTCCTTGGTCGTGGGGTCAGATTGCAGGTGGCAGAAGTGGCAGAGGATGATGCGTTGAATCCGGAGGTTGATGGGGCGATACAGGAGGATGAGGGGAATTCTGTCTTTGTTGTTATTGCGGGGAGGGGGTGTGAGGGCTGAGGTGTGGGAAACGTGAGCAATGCGGTCGAGGGCGTTTTCGACCACTGTGGAGGAGAAATTGCGGTCCTTGAAAAACGAGGACATCTGGGATGGGAGGGACCGGTCTCTCCGTGACTCCCTTGTCCTCTCCACACTCCCGACTAGCTCCACCACCCCTGCACTTTTCCCTGCAACCGCAGGAAATGCTACATCTGCCCCTACACCTCCCCCCTCACCTCCATCCCAGGTCCCAAGAAAACCTTCTACATTAAACAGAGGTTCACCTGCACATCTGCTAATGTGGTATATTGTATCCGCTGTTCCCAATGTGGCCTGCTCTACATCGGGGAAACCAAGCGGAAGCTTGGAGACCGCTTTGTAGAGCACCTACGCTCGGTTCGTGACAAACGACTACACCTCCCAGTCGCAAACCACTTCAACTCCCCCTCCCACTCCTTGGACAACATGTCCATCCTGGGCCTCCTCCAGTGCCACAACGATGCCATCCGAAGGCTGGAGGAACAGCACTTCATATTCCGCTTGGGAACCCTGCAGCCCAATGGTCTCAATGTGGACTTCACAACCTTCAAAATCTCCCTTTCCCCAACCTCATCCCAAGACCAGCCCATCTTGTCCCCGCCTCCTTGACCTGTCCGTCTTTTCTCCCACCTACCCACCTCTCCCTCCCCACTGACCAACTCCCATTCCAACTCCCTACCTACATTCACCCTTACTGGCTTCATCCCCACCTCCTTGACCGGTCCGTCTGCTCTATCTGCTCCTCTATCCACCTTCCATCATCGCCTCCCCCTATCTCTAATTATTTCAGAGTCCCCTTACCCTCCCCCATCTCTGAAGAAGGGTCCAGACGCGAAACGTCAGCTTTCCTGCTCCTCTGATGCCGCTTGGCCTGCTGTGTTCATCCAGTTCTACACCTTGTTATTTTGGACTCCAGCATCGGCAGTTCCTATTATCTCTGCCTGTTACTTCAGTTATTACACAAATGCCATTTAAAGCAAATTAATTCTATGACCTGACTCCATCATCCAGTAACTTTGGGATGGGTGGGAATAGTTCATATTTCATTGTTTCAAAATTGTGACTGTAATATGTGGCATGTAAACACACCCAACTGCCTAATCAATCCCTGCTGATGTTTATGTTCTACTTGAGCCTCTTCTCATTTGTCTTCATCTATTTCTGCCATTGCAACCACATATTACCTTGTCTAACATATGCTTGTCCACCTTCCTTTATATGCACGTATTTTGCTTGCTTCAAACATTCCCTGCGGAAATGAGTTCCACTCTTCAGGTACACATGTTTCTTCTGAACTTTTTATTGGAAATTGAAAGTTTTATTGTGAAAGCTATCTAGAATTTAGAATTGTTGTTAGTCCAGTAGTTATAGTCAGAATTGCAGTGCAGTCCCAATACTTATTTGCATTGAGTCACATAGAAGAATGTTTTCAGACCATCAGTTACCTGGGCCCTGTACAGATTGTGAATTTAGGCACATGCATTACTGGCTGAGTAGACCTGTTCTGATACTTGTTGGTACTGTCAAGCCCTCAACTGTTGTTATTGCCTCTGTAGTTGAACACTGTTACACATGAGGTTGAGTTGACAGGTGGAGAGAACATATTGTTTTTTAGGGGGGCGGTGGATGGAAGGAGAGAATATTCTATTATCAAGAGTAGTGCACAATGCAGTGTCTGCTCCAGGGTGAAAGCCAAGGCAAAATTCACAGAGATCCATTGTTGCCCAAATCGTAGTGTCTCAGTCTTCCAAAAGATCGCAAAGCACTATGTTCGGCACTAGCTTTGTTGCAGGAGTTGTTGGAAAGGTGACATTTTGACATCAGTCCATTTTTGGGTTCCACTCCAGGTATTTTTGTCAGGGTTTACTCTCTCGGCCTTTAACTTTCCTCAATTGGCACACAAAGCAGTATAGCTATTTACCCATAAAAATAAAACACAAAACTAGAAATCGCTGGGAAACTCAGCAATTCTGGTAGCACCTGTGGAGAAAAACAGACTTGACTATGGAGAGAGGGAGTCCAGAAAGAAAGAAAGAGAGGGAGGGGAGGAGAGAAAGAGAAAACGATTTAGGAACGCAAAGGGATTGTGATAGTAAGCCAGGAAGTAAAGAAGCAACTTAAGTAGTGGGGACCATGAGTAAGTGAAAATGGGTTGACTGTGCTGAAAGCAGATGTCATGACAGGACCTTGGTTTGAGGGTGATTAATAGACATGGCAGGTAGCGATCATGCTGTAAAATTACTAAATCTGATGGAGTCCTGAAAGTTGAAATCTCCTCAAGCAGAAGATGAGGTGTTGCTGTTCCAGCTTGCATTGAATTTTGCTGGAGCACTGCAGCAGACCTGAAACACACAGGCCAGGGAACACAGTAGTATGTCGAAGTAGGAGGCACCTGGAAGCTTGGGGTCATTCTCATGGACAGAGCATAAGTGTTCTGCAGAGTGGTAGCCTAGTCTGCGTTTCATCTCCCCAGTGCAGAGGAGACTGTGTATTCTTAGCAGTGAATATTAGTAGACTAGATTGAGTAAAGTACAGGTAAATCACTGCTTTACCTGGAAGACGTGTCTGCGGCCTTGGCTAGCGAGGAGAGAGGAGATAAACAGCAAGTGTTGCATCTTCTGCGATTGCATGGGAAAGTGATTGCTGGGAGTGGAGGAAGAATGGACCAGGGCCTCCAGAGAGAATAGTCCACGTGGAATGCTGAGAAGGGAGGTGAATATGTGTCTGGTGGCACAAATGTGGATTGTTACTGTTTGGATGTAGAGGCCGATGTGGTTGGAAATGAGGACCAGGGAATTCTATTATTGATGTGAGAGGAAGAGAGAAGGATGAAGGCAGAACTGGGGGAAATAGGCTGGACATGGCTAATGTCTCTGTCAACAACGGTAGAAGAGAACCCTTGGTTGAGGAAAATAGTGGACACTTCTGAAGCACCCCTGAGGAAGGTGGCATCATCACAACAGATGAGACGGAAACTGGGAGAATGGAATGAAGTTTTTGAAGGAAGCAAGGTGTGAGGCTGTATGGTCGGTGGGTTTGTAGATTATATCGGTGACCAGCCGATCCACAGAATGGAAACAGATGTTGAGGAAAGGAAGGGAGGAGTCCAAGATGTACCAGGTAAAGGTGAGAGTGGGATGGAAATTGAAAGCAAAATTGACAAATCTTCCCAATTCCAGATGAGGTAGCAGGAAAGCAGCATGACCTTCGGGTCCGCTCCCTCCACGACATCCTAGTCCACTCCTCATACAACACCAACACCCCACAGCATCGCAGAAGGTACAA